TAGCTCGATCATGATAAATATGTTTAAAATCATAGTAGGACTCGCATTTTGGTATGGTTATCCCTTAGTTGATAATGCGACCAGATTCCTCTTCTCTGGAGGTCTAATGGTTTGGGAGCGTCGATCCTTGGATTTTCTAGCTTCGCTTCAATTAGCTCAATCATGATAAATATGTTTAACACCATAGTAAGACACCGATATACATTGTATTCTTAAGGAATGAAGTAACTGTATGGGGTAAAATTGGTTAGCGATGAGTGTATGAATGACGAGATGACACATGTAACTAGAGACAGTTAATATATGAGTCAGCAAATAGTTGACATCGGATACAAACATGAGTTCGGTGCTATGTAGATTCCGAAGGCATGAGAACCGATAACAAAGATTTGAAAGTAAGACCTCAGTTGGGAAAGGCAACATTCGAATGAGCAGTCGTTACAAAGAGTCTTGTATTAATAGGGGACGAAAAATTATTTGTACAGAAAAGCTATAATCTGCTCTCATTTTATAAAATTACTTGCTTTCTTTTGTTCTTAATATTGTTCTTATTATCGCCTCTGGAGAGGTTCATCATACAACCAGACTTGTATTTCCTTTAAGTTATTTCTATAATCTTGATTCTATTCTTATTTATTCATATTTTTGGATCAAATTAATCACGTGTCTATAAATCATGTTACAAATTCAATTCAATTGTGTTATTTTACAGGTAAACAATAACCAAAAGAGTTTTAAAAGTTGTTATTTCATTTATTTAAGGGTAGTTTCACATATCTCCCTTGAAGTTTTGATTTATAATACATACCTCTCTAAAGTTTCAAATATTGCATAAACCTCCCTTCTTCAAAATTTTGTGTAACATTTTTCAAACTTTTTAAATTTTTGTCAGTTGATAAATTTGATCCTTATTAAGATTTAATTTTTGTTACTTTTGTTTTAGATTTGAGTCTTGAGAATTTTGTTTCTTATACTCATCAAATCCGAAATTGCTCATAATTCTATTACAATCAGTGTTTCTAAAGGCGGGAGCGTGAGGCGGTGCATTTTACTAGATACAGGGCGAGGCGTAAGCCTCGAGATATTATGGCGTAAGCTCTACGGATCTCTAAAATTTTCAATTTATAAATTAATAATACAATATTATAATACAAAAAATATAAAAGTACATTCAGAGTTCAAGAAAACTGAAAAGAATTAAAAAAAACTCATAGGAAATAAAATATCTAGCAGGTTTTACAAATATAAATAATGCAATAATGTTAAAGTTACAATAAATCAACTATATGAAGATCTAACAAGTAAAGATATAAATTTTGGCTATCTATTTTCAGAAAAATATTCAAATGATATACAGATCATAATGTTCTCAATTAGTAAATATGCAATATTATACTTCATTATTTGAGTTATTAGAAATTGTCATATTCATATAGATGAAAGAACTTTTATTATTCAGTTGTAAAAGAATTTTAAGAGTAAAAAATGTTAATTAGTGAATTCGACAAATCAGAACGGTTGGGCTAGGCTCAGACGTTGAGCGTTAGGCGTGTTTAGGGCGCATAGTTGAGCGTTTCAGGGCGTAAGCCTCACAGAACTAAGCTCACACATAAGTCTTAAGGCGTTTTGAGAGTGCCCCGCCCCGATGCGAGCCCCGAGGCGGGTCCCGAAAAAGCCTTTTAAAACACTGATTACAACTAATTACTACTATAAGTTACTATATATTTTACTTAAATTTAATAATAAAGATGTTTAAGCGTATAGTTGAAAAAAATATTATACTCCGCAATGGTTACTCCTCTCTCTCTGAATCGCGATCTTCATTCTCATTTCTCTCTCAAATACCAAATCAAATGTAATGGGTTGTTTTTGGCAGTGATTAATGATTACGATGGAGGTCGGAGGATTGATTTAGGATATATTAGTTGTTATCATTTGTAACTCGAGCAACTTCCTTTGGGGATCATTAGTTAGTAATCTCCTCTTTTCCTCTCATATGTTTTTTTAAAACACAAACTAAAAATTAACCCCCTCAATATGGTAGAAGTTTAAGCAATAATACAAAGCTGTAGTGGGGAACTAAGCCGAAACCCTACAATTCATATCTTCTGTTTTCTTTTCGTGTTTTCTTTATCGTATATTGGCCAACACTAAGGGTGGCAAAATGGTTCAAAGAAAATAGTTAATTACCCATATTATCCACTAAAAAATGAGTTGGATAATAAACTTTTTAAAAACGGATCAAATATGGATAAGAACCAGATTATCCATTTAGAAAAATGGATAACCAATGAGTAACCAATGGATAACCAATGAGTCTAACTTTTATATTTGTAAAGCCTCAAATTGGGGGTTCCTCAAGTTAGAGAAACTAAGAATTCTCCCAAAAGTGATCATATACAAGAAGTCATGGATAATATGGGTAACCCATATTAGCCACCGGTTAACCCATTTTTTATCCGTATTAAATATGGGTCGGGTCGGATAATTGATTCATTTTTTCATTACCCGTTTTCAACCCGAACCATATCCGATCCGACCCGCCCGTTTGCCACTCCTAGCCAACACCTTTATTCATCTATGTCACCACCAGAAGATAGATGAAAATGATTCGATGTCTGTTACACAATTGATGCTTGTATGGGGTAAAAATTACCTTAGTTTAAGTTCAGATTATATCAGCACTAAGAGAGCCTTCAAGGGATTGCCACGTGTCATAGAATGACTTCGACAAAAGGCACATTCAAGGTTGAAGTGGTCCCACAAGAGATGGAGAGCGAAGTCGAGGAGTCAACATAGATCAAGGTCGAGGACGAGCACTTGTCTTAAATAGAGTAATAACGGCTAGTTTTAGGACAAGACTTTAAAGAGAATATTCCAGTAGATATTCTCTGTATTTGTACTATTAGGGTCTTGTTGTCACATGTTCCCTTATAAATAGAAAGAGACATAGTTGTAGGGGACATTGAACATTCACTTGTAAGAGAACACATTGACATTCTCTGAAGATTCTTGCATTATTATATACATACAAAACCTACCTTTTTCTTGAGATTCTTGTTTAAATTTTCTCCCACGATCCAAGGATAATCCGAATAATCAAAGGATCATCAATCATTCATCATTGCCGAAAAGAATACTAAAGAATCTCACCCCTTTTCGGGTGACTCACATGCCTTTGTTTACTTAAATGACATTCTTTGCTATTTATTACTGTTAAATGCTATCTCCTTTATTTTTGGATCATTGAATATCACAGTGTTATCATCATTTATTGCTATTTAGATCATACCCATATTATCTTGCCATACTAACACAACTTTTGAATATTAATATTAGCTAAGATTAACTCTATTTTACTAGAAACTATAATTGCTTAAACCTAGATCCAACTTTTGGGGTCAAACAGTTTGGCGCCGTCTGTGAGGACTTCTTAGCTAATCTTTTAGTTTCCATTAAATCTACAACTCACGTGATTTGCTAACCTAACGAGCCACAAAGCTTTTTTGCGTCTCTTTACGTGTAGAAATTTACATGGCAGGTAACCAAGGAAACAGAACTAGGGCAACAGGTGACATCCCCGATAACCTCATGAATGCTATTAACAAGAGCTATGAAATACTAGGCAATGATGTGACACCCTCTGCCTCCCCCAGGCACGAGAGGTCCCCCACCTCCCCCCTCCTCATTGCAGCATAACAATACCAAATGGAAAAGGGATTTCTACGTCCATGGGAGAAGGGACGCCACCTACCATGAAAAATCTCCTCGAAACAAAGATGACTGATGCCTTAGTAATCGTTATCAACAAACAAGCTCTATGCGCGACTATAGAAACAACTAGAGCCCACATGGTACAACAAGGAGACGAACAGGGCGATCAACCAGATGCTCAAACTCCAGGTATAACTCACAATGTTACTAATAGTGTAGGGGATGGTATCTTCGCCGTTGTTTTAAAAAGAATGGAAGAAATGGAGAATGAGAACAAAGCCCCCAGAGGCTAAATGAAAGAACACCAAAAACAAGTCGACAAGATACCGGGCGCCCCTAAGTTATTACTAAAAAGGGATGCCATCAGGTTCGTAGAGCAGCCTCCATATCTCAGGATATACGACGGAGCAACCAACCACAAAGACCACGTGACTCATTATGTTACCACCAAGAAAAGCAACGACCTTACCAAGGAACAAATGTCCCCTATTTTGCTGAAGAAATTCGGCGAAAACCTCACTGGAGGGGCATTAACATGGCATTCCCAGCTTCTATCCTGCTCCATAGAAGCGTTCGAAGAAATTAATGGCTAATAAGTTCGTGACGGTGCATGTTGGGGCCAAGAAAGCTGAAACATGAATAAACGACATCTTCGCCATCAAGCAATCCCTAGGAGAGGGACTTCCTCGCCTGATTCAACAGGGTTAGGATGACCTTACCAAATGTGTCCAAAGGGATGGCAACCGCAGCCTTTCAAAGCGGGTTGAGTAGAGAGGATTCAAGAGTGACCAGAAAGTTGTTGAGCCAATTGACGAAGTACACTCCAACCACTTGGGACGAGATCCATAATGCCTATTATGCCGAAGTCTGGGCAGATAATGACAACCTCAACGGACCAGCTCAATGGCTTATCTCGGTACAAACCAAACCCCGAAAAGAACGAAGATATAACATGAGGAGGACTCACATCCAAACAGGGAACGACATCATCCCTACGTCAAGGCCCCCGCCCCTCCTTCCTTTAGCTATGATGATGGCCCACCTAGGTCAAGGACGAGGACTCACATGAACGAGAGAGGTATGCTCCTCCTTGTTATCTTCTCACAATTTTTGTATTTCGCCTAAAAAATAGTCTACGCCTTGGAGAAACTTGGAACTAAGGTAAAGTGGCCCCAAAGATGAGGTCTGATCTGAGTACCAGGAAATCCGACGCTCTTTATGAGTTCTACCAGGAACGCTGACACAAAACAGAAGATTGTATCACTTTAAGGAAAGAGGTAGTGAACATGTTGCAGCAAGGACACCTTAAAGAGCTGTTGAACGACAAAGGAAGGAACACCTTCGCAAGGGGTCAAGAGCGTCAAGGCTCGCTGAAGCTTCCCTCACCAGCTCGTACCATCAATATGATCATTGGTGGTAGCGATGACGCTTCTAACAACGGTGTCAAGTTCAATGCCACTCACAAGATCACAAGATCGATCACCCATGAACGGTATGACATACTCGACGAGAGTATCATCTTCGATGAGTCAGATGCCAACAGTTTGACTTTCCCTCACAACAATGCTCTAGTCATTACTTTACGAATTGTATATACTGATGTTAAACATATCATGGTAGATGATGGGAGTGGAGCGTGTATTATCCATCCCCGAATCCTCACCCAGATGAGACTCGGCGACAAGATAGTGTCGCGCTGCATCATGCAACAATGCAGTTGAACAAACATCGGGAGAAATGATGCTCCCCATCCTTGTTGGTGGCATAACTCTGGAGACAACATTCCACATCAAGGACCAAACCATCGCATAAAACGCCATATTAGGACGATCATGGATACATTGTATGAGAGTTGTCCCCTCGAGATTATACCAAGTGATCAAATTCCCAACGACTTGGGGAATGTTCAACATACGAGGGGAACAACGCACGTCCCGGGAATGTTACCACATCGCCATGGATAGCACGACAACTCAACAAAAGAAAGATAAGGAAAAAAAGTGTAGCAATCAGCAGGGTCGAGGTCACAACAAGAAGAATCTAGGGATGCCATTATGGACCCCGAGACGGTCGAAGCAACGGACTTAGCAACAGAGGACCTCGACACCATTCAATTAGATCCTAGTGACCCCAGTAAAAGGGCCTACATTGGTTGAAAACTCCGAGAACCAAGTAAATTTAGTCAATTCTTAATAACAAACGCAGATTTATTTGCTTTCAGCCATGCAGCTATGCCGGGCATCCCCAAGGAGATCGCCACACACAAATTGAATGTCGACCCATTCTATCCTCCTGTAAGGCAGGTCTGACAAAAATTCAATCCCACCGTCAATGATGTCATCCACGAGGAGGTAAAAAAGCTATTAGAAAATTGCTCCATCAGGGAGTTGAAGTACCTCTGACGAGCGCAAAACACAACACAAAATTATTGTTCAGTGGTCAAAGATAGTATAGTAAAATATTGTCTCCACAGGGATTGGATTTAAATAATGTCCGAATAATTTCTTATTTAATTGCTATTCAGGATGATCAACACTTGAGTTAAATGATTATGAACTATGTTTAACTACTAAAATAATGCAATTGATAATTGACTGCAAAGAACTAGAGATTTGCAGAGTTGGTTTCTTATAAATGTGAGGAATAAGGGCTTGACAAGATAGGTACAAGATAGATATTTGGGATTTAACTCTAGTTTAATTCACGCTAATTTTCTAATAATTCTCACGAATTCACTCGGCGATTAGTTCAGACTTGTAGTCAAGACTCCTCTCTCGATTAAACCTTAAATCTACGAGGTGAACTAATATAAGCACTGTGAAAGTAAGTAAGCATGCGTTAATGGATTTGTCTTAAGGAAAACATCTCTCGAATATTCTCCTAACTTGATTCAATCAACAATTCAACAAGCTCTTTCGATTACTTAAGAGAATTAATGAATTAAATCAAACAAAATAATGCAAATATAATCACCAGAATATTCCTCTTTTGATTAAATAGACCGGTGAATAAAGTTGCAACGATTCAAAACTCCATAAACAAATTCAAACAAAAACTAGAGTTAAAATCCACAAATATTTATCATAACACCATATACGTCAAACCCTAAAGTAAACTATTATATAATCATGAAGGAAGTCACCACAAATATAATTAAAGAATAAGAAAGCATCAATCTAACGTTACAATCCAAACTTCCGTATTGAATTGATGGAAAGATGATGAAATCCTGAGAATTGTAGCCTCCATTGCTCTTTCAAAGCTTTTAAGGTCAAAAGTCCTCTCAAAATCGTGTTTTTAGTATATTTATACCATGTAGGAATGGGTCTGGATGAAACTACCCTTTCCAAGCCGAAGTGAGACAATTGGACCGCGAAAATACACTGACGCAACGCCCCATGCGCCACATTAGTGAGGATTTATAGAGAGTTGATTTTTCCACTTTGCAGGAATTTTACAATAGCTCTTTGAGCTCGCGGTGCAGTAGTACAATTTTCTCAGAGTAATTTTTGTTTTCTCACTTTTTGATATCCAGACTTGGTCCCCAACCTCCGAACGTGATCCCGACTTAATTTCTTGGGCGTTTACTCAGACTTCAAAGCTTCAACTTGCTCAAATTATCTCAAAATTATCTTAATAGCTCGGAATTATTTTCTACAAGGCATAAAACACCTAATAAGCGCAAATCACCATTATTTAAGCTCAACCACAAGTAAAATACAGTGATTATAGTGCAAACTATGACTAAAATAGGGGTTTCTAGCCTACCATCAATTCCAAGTGGATAGCCAACGTAATGATGGTAAAAAAATCGAAAATGGAGGATGTGTGTAGACTTCACAAACCTAAACAAAGCATGCCCGGAAGATTTATTCTTATTACCACATATCGACCAACTCATCGGCGCAACGGCTGGGCATGAGCTACTAGGTTTCCTGGACGCGTGCTCGAGTTATAACCAGATGCTCGTGGAAGAAGAGGACAAGGAGAAAACCATGTTCATCAGCCACAAAAGAACATATTGTTATAGGGTCATGTCATTCGAGTTGAAGAACGCAGGGGCTACCTAGCAGAGATTGGTCACAAGAATGTTCAAAGACCAACTCGGCAAGACCATGGAGGTATATATCGACAACATGTTAGTCAAGTCCGTGAGGAAAAAAGACCATATCGGCCACATGAAGGAAGCTTTCGACATACTAAAACAGTATGGGATGGAACTAAACCTAGAGAAATGTGCATTTGGCATCGCCTCGGAAAAATTAAGTATGCATTTTAATGTATTAGGCAATTTTTGAACATTTTACCAATTAAATTCTATATTGAGTTTTTCTTTATTTTATTGTATTTTACCCATCCCAAATAAGTATGTAATTTCTAGAACCTCTACTTTGTCTTAAAAGAAAAATTAATACAGAATCAGAGTGAAATGAACATGAATATATAATGGATTTGTGTGAACTTCTAAAACAAATGTCTTTTCCAGACATTTTTTTTTTTGAAGTAACAAAAATATAGAGGAGCTGACCAGATGTTGGTTGAGAAAGGATATTAAAATCATTACGTAACTATTATTTTTCCAACAAAAGCTGGGTCAAGGAAAATGCCGTCCACAATCCACATCCAACAACAATAACTCATACTAACTCTTTTAATGGCCTCACAAAACCACACATTTTATAAACCGTCCACTTGTTTCACTCCAAACCTTGGATTCATAGCCATCTGTTGTTTTGGTCCGATAGCCGTGAGTTTCTCATGACCCGGAATTTCACTCTCGGGATCGTGATGACGCCTAATATTTCACTTGTTAGGCATGTCAACATTAGAATAATTTTTAGCCATTTTAACAATTCAAATTAACTGATACCAATTATTTAAAGTGAATAAATTGAAATAGAACTAAAATAGAGTGAACAAAATCATAACAACCGCAATATCTAGATACAATCCCAGAACTGGTATCACAAGTGCATGAGCGACTAGAATAATAAAAATAATGATCTGAATGAAAATAAATCTATCGGAAATGAAATAAACAGTTAGGATAAAGTAGAAGGGGACTTCAGGGCTTCGAACGCCGAGCAGCTTTACCTCAAGGCTCCAATCCGACAATCAATCTGAGCAATCTAGTGAACGCCGCTGGGACAGACTCCAAAATCAGCACAAGAAGTGCAGAGTGTAGTATGAGTACAACCGACACCATGTACTTCGTAAGTGCCGAGCCTAACCTCAACGAAGTAGTGACGAGGCTAAGGCGGGTCACTTACAATAACCTGAACACAGTATAATAATAACAATAGGAAAGAAACGTAGGAAAAGTAAGGCAGTTAACTTATGAAAAATAAACTCAATCCTCGAAATCAGTAAAGCTAGAAATACCAGTACTTAGAATCTCGCATGAAAGCACCGAAGGCCAACAACACAACAAGGAATACAAAACACACAATTTGTTGCAGCGTGCAACCTGATCCCACCGTACAAACACAATCCTCCCTTATTTCACCATACCAATAACGAGAATAACATATAAAATCCGTTGCGGCGTGAAACCCGATCCCACCATATAATCAGAATCAATATCATAATCCTCCCTTATTCCACCATATCAAATCACATATAAAATTCGTTGCAGCGTGTAACCCGATCGCACCATATCAATCCTCCTTCATTTTACCTGTTGCGGCGTGCAACCCGATCCATAAAAAAAAATTAATAAGTGCAATTAATTTAACAACTCAAATCACAAGAATCTCTACGATTAAAGAAATATGGAATCAAAGCCATAAAAGGACCTCGTACCAAATCAAGGAATGCTACAATTAATACAAAGCAACAAGGCAAGCCAAATACATGACAATTAAAATATACAAGTAAGACAATTAAGGCAAATAGCAATTAATCATGGAAGCATGGAAAAAACGAACACTTTAATACAAGAAAAAATAAGTGGCAAGTAGCAAGTTAAGACATAGGAAGAAATTAAACCATGTAACACTTAAGACATAGAATAAAATAATTAATGAAATATGGGAAAACATGAAAACAACTAATCTGACGGCGTATATACACTCGTCACCTCGCATATACGATGATACACATGTAATTCACATAGCACATAGCTCAAGGGTTCCTAATTCCCTCAAATCAAGGTTAGACCCACTTACCTCGCTCTACAAGCAAATTAAACCTCAACTGGGGTCTTTCCTCTAAAATCTGCCTCCAAACCAATGGAATATAACCAAAATCACTCAATAACATCAAATAATGCTAGACAAACCAATTACAATACATAAAGTTAAGATCTTTATACTTTTTCAGAAAGTCAACCCCGGGTCCGCTTGGTCTAAACCCGAGATTCGGACCAAAACCCAATTACGCATTCAACCCCGAACTCGATTATGTAATTAGTTTCGAAATTCGACCTCAATTTGAGGTCTAAATCTTAATTTTACAAAACCCTCCAATTCTTCCCAAATCCCTAATTTTTTACCATGAAAGAACATATATTAAGGTTAGAAATTAATGGGTATTGATGGAAATGAAAGAAAACAAGTTAAAGTATACTAACCTATAAAATGGGTGATGAAATTTCTCTTTAAAATCGCCTTTAGGCCGAGCTCTAATGAAAAGATGGTGAAAAATGGGTGAAATCCCGTCTTTGGGATATTTAATAGACAAGCATCAGGCCTTCTTCGCGTTCGCGAAGTACAACAACCAATATGGCCTAAGCATTCAGGCGGTTCGTCACGCGTTCGCGAAGGGTCTTCCCCCCCCCCCCCA